GCCAGACCCGCGAAGACACAGGGATGCTCGGCCTACCTGATCCATCTTGGTTATGAAATTCCGCTGGCCTCCCATGCGGAATCGCAGCAGGTTGTAGAACTCCTCCGGGTGGCCTAGGCACTTCACGAACTCCATCCTGACGGCTGCCGGACGCGGGGCTCACCTGTCTGGATCTCTAGCTCCCACCGGTGTCTAGATATTAGGGACCAGCCAGGGCGAGGAGGCGGGGCCAGCGCCGGACGCCCCGCCCATCTCCCGCCCTCCTCAACCGGCCGCTCCGCTCGAGCCTCCAGCCTAGGGCAAGCGCAGTGGACTGACGGGCGTTGATTGGTCATAGTCTCTCGCACCAGGAAGACGCCGGCCAATCGGAGGCCGAAGGAGCCTGGCGTGATGACCATACCCTAGAATCTGATTGGAGGGCTAGAAAGAGGCCGCGAAATGTGATTGGTGCCCAGAAGAGAGTCTTTGTTTGCGCACTGCGTGTCGGAGGTGGGAGGGAAGCGCCGCGCGTGGGTGCGTTTGTAGTTCGGAAACTAGTTCTGGTCCACGCGTTCGCTTGCTCCAGCAGGCCCAAGCCGCAGCCCCCTCTTAACATTTACCTCTTGTGAGCTTAAGGGGTGGCTTAGCAAAGCAGTATCAGACTGGGAGGGGAGCCGAGGCCAAGCACCATGGCTGGAGCTGCCTGTCACTCGGGCTCTACACTGTGTTCTAAGGAGTACAGGTTTCCAAGAGGAAGTAGGTTTCATGATTTAAGAGAAAAAAGTTAAGCTCGAAAACAGGTAAAGCAGAGTCTTGCTTTCCTCGGAGGAGAGTTTACTGCGGCTTTCCTGAACTCCATGTAGAACAGAGCACGGTATTTCTCAGACATCTCCCATCCCTCATTTGTGAGACATCGTAATGATGATTCTTGGATCGTAAAACAAAGGGAACTGGGCTCTCGGTGGATATACCTCTCATGTTCTGGTTAATGTGAACTAGGATTTTATGTGGTTCTGTAAGGATGGAAAAATTTAGCCTAATTTTCCTTAGACTCTGCCCCCTAGCAGTGAGTAGGCAAAAGGTCATTCTTGACTGTTTACAACAGGGTGGGTTACTGACAGTACCTGTGAGTGAATGAGAACAGGAAATGAAAAATCTGCCCAATTTTGGGCTCCATCTGGAGGGGAGGGACAGCCAACTACTCCAGTTAAGTAGTGGAATAACTAACTTCTTATTAGCGTAAATGACACATTTTATTATGAACTCTTCGTGTGTCTGTTTTCCCCTTTAACCCTCATATAACTCCCATGCTTGTCAGTCCTTTTACTCTTTCAAATAGCCCTCTTTATTTATACTTACACCTTTTTAAATTATATTTTTATGTGGGGATAAGTGTCATCACACACTGCCATGTGTGGAGGCCAGTTCTCTTTCCTCCATATGAGTACTGGGAATGGAGCTCAGGTCATCAGGTTTGTTGGTGCCTGTGTGTGACCTAAATGAGGAACAGACTTTCTTCAGTAGTATGGCCACTAGTAAGTTGCCCATGCTTCTGTTAGGACCCATAATTAAACCTGTTTGGAAATCAAGAAGAAAAATGAGTTTCAAAAAGGAAGATCATGGAGATCTTAGAGAAAATATTATGGGTGGATATGATCAAAATACATTATATATGTATAAAAATGTCATAATGAAACCCATTATTATGTATAGTGAGTATGTTAATAAAAACTCTTATTCTAAAGTATGTTCCTGTTTGGTTCTGATTGCTTGTGTCCCTCCAAAACTTCCGTGTTGAAGATTTAGTCTAAAATTGGGAACTTTAGAGATGGAAGTTTGTGAGGGATGGTATATAAACAAGGTCTTAAGGGTAGATTTTAAGATGAGTCCCATGATATTGGTGCCCTTACTTTGAGGAAAAAAACATAAGAGGCCCAACACACACACACACACACACACACACACACCCATACTAAGGTCACAGTGTTCTAGAAGGTGCCATCTGTAATCCAGGAGGGGGACTCTCATCAAATAACTGAATCTGCCTCTTACACTTTCATCTTACAGATCTGTGAGAAGTGAGAAATTACCCAATCACTCAGTCTTTGGTTTTATTTAAGTTTCCATTCAAAATATCATTTTATTAGAAACAGCCAGTCTGTCAGTCAGACTTGGCCCACACCTCAGGTCATCCAAGAATTGGAAGAGCCCTTGGTAACACAAGCTTACCTGCCTGTGGTCTTAATGTTCTGAGGGGCAGCTTCACAGGTGCCCAGGTCCCACAGCAGCCAGAGGGCTTATTCACTGGGTGCAGTGAGGCCACACCCACAGCTTGCCATCTTACTGTGGCACTTGCCCAGTGCATGCTAGTCCTCTGGGAGGCCACTGTTGGTAATGACCAAGCGCCACAGAGAGTTCTCTCCAGTGCTCAGATGCTTGATGATGCACAGTCATGAACATGCGCATTGTTGGGCTATAGTGAGATGCTCCACAGTAAGCTGCAATGTGAGTTTTGTAGAAGCACTCAGAAGCGCAATACCAGGCATAACATCCTGCACCAGCACTATCAGGTTTTTTTTTGCTGTGATACAATCCTGCAGGGAACTGTCACTGATCTACATGTCATCAGTGCTCCAAGTCCCCAAAAGCTTGATGCCAGAGGCCTGTTACCACCCTGGTAACTGTCTCCCACTCAGTCACCCTGGGGGCATGGATGGAAGAGCTGGTATTTTGCTAAGGCATACTTAAGTACGACAGTGGTTTTGAGCCTTGTTTACTGTTTGTTTTCTCTTTGAGGCAGGGTCTCTCCAAAACCAGGCTGGCCTAAACACTGGGTACTATTGCCTCAGCCTCCAGAGTAGCTAGAATCATAGATGTGTACCACCACACTGTTTAACTGTGTGGTCCTAAGGTCCATAACTACGGCAGACTTGCATTTGCTCACACATAAAGGACAGTAAGTGCCCAGGACTGAAGAAATGGCTCACTGATCAAGAGTACGAACTGTTCTAGAACAAACATTTATAAACAGTTTTTGGGAACGTGGGCATAGTTCTCTGCAAACTGCTTCCTGCTTTTTGGGGGCAGTGTCAATCCCATGGGGATCCTGAGAAAACCCAGAATTATGGCCAACTCCTGGCTGTAGTAGTCTGTAAGGCTGCATTGTCCCAGCTGTCTTAGATTTTGGATCACCTGGGCCACTGCTTGGGGGGGAGGGGTCTTGTTTGATCAAACCGTATTTGTCTGGAAGGAATCTATGCTTTTCATCTTCTGTGGAAACAAAAGCAGAACCTCTTTTCCAAAGTAGCTTGTCCTTAGAATTAAATTTTGAAGTCAAAGTATTTTCAGAATATAAAGGTTGGATTAATTTGGCAGCATTTATAACTAAATGTCTTTTAGCAGCTGTTGGTCTTTCCTCCACAATCAAACAACTCAAGGACAATGCAATAAATAATGTACAGTATCCAGACTCTCTGTGCATTTCCTATTTTTATGTGGCTTTTTTTGTTTTTATTACTTTTTTTTTTTTAATCTTTTTGTTTTTTGAGACAGGGTTTATCTGTGTAGCTTTTGTAGACCAGCCTGGCCTTGAACTCACAGAGGTCCACCTGCCTCTGACTCCCAAGTGCTACGATTAAAGGCTATACTACCACCGCCCAGCTTTTTTTTTTTTTGTTTTTTGTTTTTTGTTTTTCCAGACAGGATTTATCTGTGTAACTTTGGCTGCCTTTAAACTCAGTTTGTAACCAGGCTGGCCTTGAAATCACAGAGATCTGCCTTCCAAGTGCTGGGGTTAAAGGCGTGTGCCACCATGCCCAGCTACTCTTTTCTTTGTTTTTTATTTTAAGGACTTTTTTATCCTTTTTTCTCCCTTCTTCCAAGCCTACATATATTTTTATACACACTGTAAACTGTTTAGAGGTTTTTTGTTTTCTTTTTTTAAGGAAAATGCTTAGAGATGAGGGAGAAGGAGCAAGTCTTACCTCCATAACATCTCAGCAGACAAGAGAGCAGATGCCTATTTCTCTCTGCTTCTATCCTGTTTCTGCCCAGCTACCTCACTTCCTGTCTGTCTGTATAGACCTCCTGATCTCTATAGTGAGCTAGTGACAAAGTCCATTCTCTGACCTTCAGACAGGATTTACTTGTACAAACAAGGTATCACCACACCAAGATCCATCTAGTTCTCCAAGGCAGAAGGGCAGATATGTACTTCCCTCCCATCCTGCTCCTAAGTGGATTCATCAGGCCAACCCTGCAAGCCTGAGAGGCCCCTTCACAAACAGTGAGAGCTGGACAGAAGAGGAGGAGGAAGGGGAGAAGAAGAAAGAAGGAAGAAGAAGGAAGAACCCACAGACAAACAAAAAACCATTTCTGCCCAATAAAGACAACATAGAGAACATCACACAGTTTTATTTTTTATTGCTACCCCAGTTCCATGAAGTTGTTGCTAACAACCTGATTGTTTCTCTACATCCCTGGACACCTGAACTGTTCAACATCCCAGTCACAAATAGTCACAAATGGCCATCATAGACCAGCAGCTTTTCTCACAGTCCCTGGGCACAACTCCCTGTCCACCCTGAGTCTCCAGCCACTGGGGATACACCAGGCAGGCTGACCAGCAGTTCCTGTCTGTAGCTATACCCTCACCCTGACCCCTCCAGGGGAAAGATGAAAGAAAATGGAGGGACTCAAAATCAACCCGTTTCCAAAACAGCACAGCACACCATTAGCAAAGAAGGCAGGGAGTATAGTATCCCTTGACTGTCCCTGAAAGCTGCCCCCAGCCCCAAGCTGTTCCTAGTCCCCCAGCTGTTGCCCAGTCACTCTTTTCCAGACTCACTGCTGCTCTAGGTAGTTTCCCCAAGCCTCTGTCAGGGTTCTAACAGCAAGGTGGGACTACACAGAATTAACCAGAAAGGGAAAACATCTATCCCTATGAAGGCTGTGGCTGAGGTATAATCCAATGAGATGAGTATCAACAGCACTGACCCTTAGGACCCTGTCCCTGAGCTGTCACACAATTCCTGCCTGTGACCTTCTCTTAGCACACTTGGTATCTGGATCTTCAATGCTACAGTTTCCATGAAGAAGGTCAAGTGTTTCAGGAGGACAGCATATTCTGTGGCCCCTCAGATGACAGCTGGGGCTGGCACTGAGGACACCACCAGGTGAGCCTCTGGAGTCCAGAAGGGGGCCCAACGGTCTCCTTCATAACCTGGTGACCAGAAGGACACTGCTCCTTCTGGTAGATCAGCGTGCGCCGTCCCTTGCCTTGGAATTTGTCCCGAAGCCAATCTAAACTGAACTCCACCACGTGATCCACAAGGGCCTCCAGAGAGGAAGAACTCAGGAGCGAGCCGAGAGAGAGAGGATGGATCCCTGCTCTGTACAAGGCTTCGTTCTTTATAATGTTCCCTGAAAACAAAGGGAGACATGGGGGTAAGAAACACCCTGTCTACTTAACCTCAAACTCACTATGGAGGTTAGGCTAAACTCCTTATCCTCCATCTTCTAAGCGTCGAGTCATAGATATTTACTACCACACTAGCTCACAATCTATTTTATGATGAGTGGAGTCCAGCTTGCTGGGCCACAGAGCAATGATCTTGCTAAAGAGAGGAGAGTAAGCTAGATGTCATGTGGTAGCGATAAAAGGGCTTTTTGTTTGTTTGTTTTCCCTGAGAGTTTCATAGCTGCACTTCCAGTTACAGGTTCTCTGCAAACCAGTGGCAGACTACCTGGACTCATCTTGCCTGTACCGCTCATCAGCAAGGTGCCCTTTGCTTTCGTTTCCTCATCTGAATAAAAGGGAAAGCTAGGAAGTAATTATCCCATGGAGCAGCATGGGGTCAGGGCCTTGTGTCTGGGTTGCTGAAGTCATATGAGTCATGCTGGCTGTCACCGTTATCATTGTGCAGCCAACTCTCCATATACATCCAAAAGCTGTGTCTGGAAGCCTTGTTGCTCCTCTGGCACAGAAACAGACTCCACTGGTTCTCCCATGAAAGTACAAGGCTTTCCCCACCTTCTGGTAGTGAGCCATACCTGTGGCAGGCAAAGTCGCACTTTGTATAAGGATGCAGCTCTGCTAACACCAGCCATTCTAACAGCCAGCACTGATGGCACTCACTGCTCTTCCGGAGGGTAGTAAGAGAGCTGCCATCCCTGCTACTAGGAACTACACACACTCCTTGTCTCCACTGGAAATACTAGTTTCACCACTCAGCTCTCCAGAGCCTTCTTCTGGTTTCTAAGAGCCTGGAGCTGACCTGATGCCTACCTCTGCTTTGACAGTAAGAAGCCCCATTGTAGGAACAACTCAGGACAACCATTCACAGCATGCCTTGACCCATAACCTTCTGAATGCTCTGTGCAAGACACTGTCCCTGTGGTAGGTGGTCACACTAACACACCACTAGGAGGCTCACAACTGAGTCCTACCTCAGAGCATAGTTCAAGAATGGAGTCCTGGGAGAATTCTGAGTGCTTGTGAGAAAGCTCCAAGAAAACAAGACAACAGTCTTGTGGCCTCGGTTTCTTCAGAACAGAATTGTCCTTGGAATGTGTTTTCATGCTCCTCCCAGGTGTAGCGGGATAGGAGTGTGTTTACTTCATTGTTCATTACAACTAGCTGTTGTTATTTGTTTATGTCTCTGTGGGAAAACACATTTTTGCCTTCTATGGCTTGACATTGTGGTTGTATACTGCTTGAACTCATGAGAACTTTCCTCGGGTGACCCCTCTTAACCCTCTGTCAAACTGTCTGATGCTTTGAGTAAAGTTGGCTAGTGCACGAGACGTCAGTCTGCCTCATTTATCAGCTCCATTTTCCCAGGTCTCACTGTCTCTAGCGGGGTAAATGCTATCATGATGTGAGTGTGTGCCAGACAGAGAAGTGAGGACCTGCCTAATCCAAACTCTGAGTCTAAAATCAAGGGATGCTGAGCCAACCTCAAAACCAGGAGTGTTGGCACAACTGGAGAGGAGTCCTCAAGTCTTGACTGCCCTATGTGTGACTTTTCCATTAATCAACTCTACAGGCTTGCTCCCCATCACCTGGGTCATACCTAATCCCGAAAAGTATCTCTGGTCCAATAGTGTATAGCACACAGGCTGAGCCTGGCTTAGAGCTTCCAAGGCTTGTCCTCGATGGAACTTCTCAGACAAAATATCACAGGTGGGCTCAATCATTGGGGGAGGGCTCCATGACATCTGGCAGCTATAAAGTGCCAGGAAGCCACCACTATCAAAATGGAGTACCAGCCTGAGAAGACAGAAGAGATCATGCCTACAGCATTCTCACATACAATGAAATCATACAACCACCAATGTACAGTCAATTCATAATATATAAACAGACCCCTATAGAAGTCAGTTCACATGTACATATAGTTACAATATAATCATCTCACACATGCAAATATCAATGTACATCATCATAGTTACTGCTGTATAATTATGCCACATGTGCATTCAATGACCACTGTGTAGGTCACATTTATACACAGTTGCAGATCACACATACACACAGTTTCTACTCTACAGGAGTCAGGTAGACTAGTACATATACTAGTCTGAATCAAGCTTGGAAGTTAAGGGTCCCATGGTCAGAACCATAAACTTCTCAGAACCAAATGAAATAAAGTAAAACACACATATATACTGTTTTCTAATTAGATTATAGCAATGCATGTTGACAGACTGAAACATGAAAAGCTGTACATCTGAATCGAGGTTAGTGGCAAACTGAACAGAGGTGGACAGGACAGGCTCATTAGGGAAAAGATGCAGAAATGGTGATCAAGATGGCGCCACTTCCAGTTTCAGGCAAGATTAGCCTGTGTGTGTGTGTGTGTGTGTGTGTGTGTGTGTGTGTGTGTGTGTGTGTGTGTTCTATACTTATGTACCCCTGAGCCTTTTGGATGTTAAGAACATCCTCACACACTTTGGTAAGGAAATAACGGGATACTTTGTAGGGATAGCTAATCCAACCAGAGCTGACTCCACACTGGAAGTAGGAGAACCTGAATTCAGAGAATCTGAGTCCATGTCTAGTTAGTGTTCTTGGCAAGGGCAGAAGCAGCTTTAGATAGCAGGGAGCTGGGCACTGTAATCCCAGCACTAAGATAGGCTAAGACAAGAGGATTATGAATTTGAGACTAGCCTAGGCTATGTAGGATGATACTTGTCATAGAATAACCCAGGGGTATTTCTTGCTTTCTTGTTTTTAATTGTCAAAGTCAGTAAGATAGCTCAGAGGTAAATCGCTTGCCATCAACCCTGATGACTTGAGTTTGATCTCTAGGATCACATGTCCCAGAACCTATAGAACCAACTGGAGTGAGTGAGAAGTCAGGACAGGAAAACTCCACCTACACTTTCTGCTTCCTGGATAGCAAGGTCTGGTCATCCCCACATGTAACCATTCAGCCACGCTTTTCCACAGAGGGTATGAACACAGCAGACCCTACTAGAACCCTGTCCATGTCACACCATTACCTGGGCACAGGGTCTCTCCAGTCACCTCTCTTGTTTGCTTGCTTTGCTCTGGAGAAGTCATTCACCCAGATACTGCCAAACAAGCCAAACCTGACCTCTAGCCACCTCTGGGCAACTGCTAAAAGATTGTGTCCCCCAAGATCATAAGGACCGCCAGATCCACTAGGGACAGTCTCCCCAGATCCAGAGGGGCCTGCAGAAGTTTCCTGAGCTTTGGGCTGCAAGGCCAGCTCTGGATCCACGGCCTCTTTCTGCTGTACTCTTTGTAGCTCCGTCTCCTCATCAGGATCAAACCGAAGGAATAATTTTTTTCCATGAACCTAACAAAACAAAACAACAAAAATGAACATGTACTAACCCTCAGAACCCTATACAGAGCCAAAGCTTCATAAGCAGCTAGCTGCCAACAGTCAGGCTCCTTCTCCTCACCCAAAGCTTGCTCCAGCACAGAGGATTTCTCTGTTCTTTGATTTTTTGCACCAGCAGCGTCAACAGCAGGTGCATGACTTTCCAAATGCCCAAAGCAACTGGAGGAGTTGGGTTAGTGCTGGGACAGGTCTATGCCAGACAGCAAGGCCACCCAGAACACCCAAGCAGAGATGTTCCTAAAGATTTCATGACCTCAGTAAAAGATTGTCCAAATTTAGTTACTCCATGACTCCATGACACATTTTTCTAAGCTAGAGTGACTCAGCATGTGCACACTCAGCCTGATCACAGTTAACAAAACAATGTCATAAAATTTGGAAGCATCCCCCACCCAGCGAATTGGACCTGGAAAAAGTTACCAACCACAGGAGAACTCACACACAAAACAAAAAGCCGTAATCTGATGAGGGAGATGGCTCACAACTGTAATCTTAACACCAAGGAGGCTGAGGCAGGAGGATGGAGAGCTCAAGATCTGGGCCACTGAGATGGTTCAGTGGGTAACCTCGATCCCCCGACCTCCAGCAGGTGAGATGTGGCATCTGTGAAATGGGAAGCAGGTACAACACGGTGACACGTGTGGTACAGCTGAGACACAGGGGCCTGCCCTGCTGAATCCCACCCACTTTGAATCTAGGCAAGCCTGAGAGTGGGAGGCCTCGGGAACTGGGTAGGGGTAGCAGAGCTTGAGGTTGGTGGCTGAGTATAGCGGGTTGAGCCTGTAATCTCAGCACTGGGAAGTGGAAACAGGAGAATCCCGGGAGCCCACTGGTCAGTTAGTCTAGCCAAGCAGTGAGTGCCGCACTCAGTGAGAGACACTGTTTAAGAAGATAAAGAGAGAACCCTTAAGAGAGGTACCCAACATCAACTAGTAACCCCCGTATGCATAGGTGCCCCCGTGCATCCTTGTACACGTTATCACACACACACACACACACACACACACACACACACACACACACACACAGAGTCTTCTCCTCTTAAGTGTATCTACATCCTCTAATCTTTAAGACCACCCCAAGGCCCATCTTCTCCAAGCCAGAAGGACCCCTTCATGTCAAGGCAATACTGGGCCTTAATTACAGCTATGATTCTCTCCATTTAGCCTTGGTGGGCAGTTTTCTTGTGAAAATATGGGTCCTTCCTTATCTTTCTAAATTTCATTCCTCAGGTGAAAAGATCCCTGGGAGCATCAGCAGGCAGCCCCAGGCTCAGCCTCTCTAGGGTTTCTACAGTATGGATATCTCCTCTGTTTCCTAGGAAACAGAATCCAATGCATCCCCAGATCCTCTGACATATATTTATCTATTCCCAAATCTATTCAGTGATGTGTAAGTGCCAGCTCTGTGACAGCTATCATTTGTAAGTGCTGGGGGACAAAAGCACTCAAACTGTACAGAAGAGTCTCTACAAAAAGGCCACCAGCCTGCAGTATGGAAGACCTGGACTCTTAAATTTGGAATTCAGAGCCTCAGCTTCCAATGATGAACTATAGGTGAATGGCTATGAGACATCTTCCACTCAAAGACTGATTCTGTAGCCTACCAGGAGCATGTGTACAAGCATGCAGGCACACGTTAAGTGGAAGAAGAGAACACGCAGTCTATCAGGCACATACATACTTGTGTAGGGTGTAAACGCTATTCTTATAAGAGTTTTAACAAGTGAGCTTGCCCTAGTCCGTGTTCTATTGCTGTGACCAACGCAAGGCTTATAAAAGAGTGCATATAACAGGGAGGTTGCCTACAGTTGGGGAGGGTTAGTCTGGTAGGCAGGAAGCAAACAAGCATGATGCTGGAACAGTGCTGGAGAGTGTTATATCCTGATTCACAGGCTGCAGGTGGCAGGCAGAGAGGAGAGAGAGGAAAGAGAGAAGTGGAGGAGAGGGGAGGGAAAGAGAAGAGAGAGGGGAGAAAACGAGAAGAGGGGAGAGATGGATGGCGGGAGAGAGAGGGAGGGAGGGAGGGGGCAGACAGATAGACTGGGCCTAGCATGGGCTTTTGAAACCTCAAAGCACACATCTCCAACAAGGCCACACTTGCTAATCTTTTCCAAGCGTTCTATTCGCTGATGACCAAGTATTTAAATATCTGAGCCTATGGGGATCTTCCTCATTCAAAACCACCACAAAGTGTTTTATGCCCACATAGAGTTGAAGAGGTTAGAGGGAAGGAAATGAGAACTTGCTTCAGTCACACGGCTACAAAGCAGCAGAGCTCCAAGTGTTTCTGTACAAAATTCACCCCACACGTCCTACACGCAGATGTTCATAGCTAAGCAAAACATACAAGACTGATGAGAATACAGCTTTGCCTTGTCTGTCTTCCAACAGGAGGAAGTATGAGGGGTCATCTCTCAGCTTGTGCTAAACAGAAAGGATATCATGGTCAAGTGGAATCCAAAAAGATTAAAATTGCCATGGTAAACAGAAGAGGCAGGAGTGTAAAGAGTAGAGGGAAAGAAAGAAGAATGTGCCTAAGCATGGGGAAACAAGTCGTCACCATGGGAAGGAACTAACTGAGTTGCAGGCAGCTATTATAAGCAAAGAATGACTTGGGCTGGGTGCAAAGGCCAGAGAGACAGGGAGGGAGGGGGTCACAGAGAGTCCCTGAGCCCCTGAAGGAATTCTGACTCCCAGTCAAGATGAGGTTTGAATCTAAATCTTCAACTGTGCTCATCCTTCACTTCACAGCTGGCCTATGGGGGCCAGCGGCACCAAAGATGCAGGTAAGACAAGGAGAGAAGTTCTCTAATTATGCATGGGCTTTCCAGGCCCTTTTTGTGTGCTCTTCACAGTCCCTATTCCATTACAACAGAAACATCACCTGAAAGAGCAGGACCACATGCAGTCCTAGCACAGCTATCCAATGCTTAGACATAAAACGTCGTAAGACATCTTGGCTACATGTTTCCAGGGGAGGTGGAGTGAGCCAGCACACTCAAGACCTGGGGGAGAGCAAAACTCACCTGGGCATCCTGGAGCCATAGAGACTGGAAGGAGGCAGGGTGTAGCTTCTTACTGCTGCCCCCCGTCTTGACCACCTTCTGGCCCACAAAAGGGGAGACAAGATGGTGAAACTTCCTCACAGATGGCCCTTCTGGCATCTCTGCAGGTAGAAAGTGGCAAAGGAGACCACCCTGATTTAGCTCGGTCCTCTCTAGCATGTCTAATGGTGTTGTATCCCAAGGAGCCAGTTTGGGTCAACCACTTTAGGAGCATATATGCAAATGCGGAGCCTGGCTGAGATGGGGGGATCAGATCTCAGAGAAGACTGAGCTGGGGCAGGGTTAAGGGCCAGCTTCACAGCAATGGGTTCTCTTCCTGGTTCCTCACCCATACCCATGTAGCAAATATAATCAGCATAGCATGTTTGGTGTCACATAGTGGTGACCTCAATGGTCAGCCACTCCTTATTTGTTTGTTTCTTGAGACAGAGTCTTGCTATGTATCTACAAGTGAGCTATTATGTAGTTCCAGCTGTCCTCAAGACTCACAGCTCTCCTTATGCCTCATGCTCCCAAGTGTTAGGATTACAGGCATGCAACACCTCCTTGTCCCTTTTTGCTGCATATATTAGACCTCTAACTCATCTCCAAGTTTTCTGTCTCTCCCCATCTCATTACCAAAGCATTGTGGAATGATTATTCCAACCCTCTGGTCACTCATCCACACTTGGATCTGTCTCTCCTGGGGCCACCTCAGGGGCTTTCTATCTATGACCACAGTGCTGGCAGATCTCCAAAATGTGACAAGCAGACACCAGCCAGCAAGGAGGTTACCAACCAGCGTAACTCCTGATAATATCCTAATGGTTGAAAAGCCACAGTAAAAGCAAGGCTGGACTGCCTGTCAGTTCTCAGTCACCCAAAGCCACTGAGAGCCTTCAGGGTGAGACAGCCTGAGTGGCCTACATCCTGGCTTCACTGAGTGGAAGTCAACTGCCCCCACCAAGGTTTCCCCTAACCTTATCGGCCACTCACCGTCATCAGGCTCCATAAGTCATGGTGAAAACTAACAAAGGGACATGGCAGGCAGTTATTACTTCAGTGTTTCTAAAAGCAGTTGGTTGTTGATTTTTTTTTGTTTTTGTTTTTTTTTTTGTCTTGTATTTGGTGGTGGTGGTATTCTTTATTCTTTAATTAATACAGAGTGGTATTCTCACTCTGTACCCCAGGCTGGTCTTAGAACTAACTCTGAGCAATCCACCTGCCTGAGTCTCCCAAGTGTGAATACACTTAAAACTTACCAGAGAATCAGGATAATCGGGATATTTTAGTCATCCCACAAATTCTCATAATTCATAAGAAACATACTCAATAATGCTATTTCTTTTTCTGTCTTGAGACAGGTTTGCCCATATTCCAGATGCCATGCTGGCCTATAGTCCCCAATGTATGCATGGCCTCTACTCCCATAGTACTCTTATTACAGAACCATAACACCACTCCTGGTTTATCCGCAAATATAAGGCATCTTCCAAGCTAGGCAAACACTCTACCAGCTGCGCTAAGTCCCAGGCTTCAATACAATACTTGAATTTGTCCACACTTGGATTCCCACCCACACGCTTGGAAATGTGGTAACCGTTCATCAACTAGGACCTTCAGGGGAACTGCTGGGCTGGAAGACTGCTTGCCAGGCACTGGCACCCTAACTGCCTCCGTTCAGAGTCCTCCTGGCCTCTGTCAGAGAAAGTTCTGGAAAAGCCCGCCTGTTCAATGAACCGTATTCTTAAATCTCTACGGTCAGTCGGATGTGGTGGTGCGAGTCTTTAATCCTAGCACCCTCAGAGGCAGGAGGATTTCAGAGAACTGGAGGCCATCCTAGTCTACATAGTGAACCCTGGCTTCACTGAGACCCTGTATCAAAACAAACAACAACTCTCGGCCCATGAGCATGCGCTGATGGTCAGGAAAGGGATGAGAAAATGAGAACCTCGTGCTTCGTTGGTATGACGAGGTGGTCAGGCATGCAGTACGTGGTCCCTGTTCTCCAGTGGCCAGGCAGCTTATAAGAGCCAGGCACAAGCTGAGGTGGCGTCTTCAGTGTGACGGGGAAGGAGGAGCGAAGACGTGAAGGTCTCCGGAGGGGGCGGTTGGGGGTGTGGAGGCGGGGCGGAAGGCAAAGTGATCAACAAAAACAAACCTAAGACCCAGCTGCGCGTGTCCAGAAGAGACGCAGCTTAATTTTTCTGTAATTGACTTTTCATCAAAAAAAAAAAAAAAAAAAAAAAAAAAAAAAGGTGTTGATAACGGGCACATGTGCGGTCCTGGGAAGCTGGGGACGACGCAGAGGCGCGCCCAGGCTGGCTCGCAGGAGCCACACTCTCCGGGATCCGGTCCCAGCGGCCACAGCAGGTGCGCAATCCGCCTGCGCCTTCCGTTCCAGACCCAGGGGAGGGACCCAGGGGCGGGGGACGACAGGTTCAGTATGCTTGAGCATGGGAGGAGGGGGTGGCCCCGAGCCAAAGTGTTCCTCGGGGGATAGGCGGGAAGCTGCTTCCGGGCTCCAGGGACCAAGCTTGGGGGGGGGGGGGGAGGCTGCGCGGGCGTCTCTCCTGGGAGGTCTGGAGATGGGAACCCTTCCAGATGAAAGAGGCTGCTGGAAGTGAGGTGCTGGAGGTGAGAAGAAGAGCTCCGGGCTTCTCTCCTGGAGATGGGGATTCACCTCGAGATGGGGGCTGCCGGCTCTTCAACTCAGGCTCCTCCCACAGGTAGGAGGGATGCTGCGGTCTCCAGCCCGCAGTGCTCTCCCTCTGGGCCAAAGGGCAACCTCTTACCCTAGCTTGAGGCACTCTCGGAGTGTATTCGCCTGCCCTCAGCTCTTCCCCCATACCTCCCACCACTACCCCTCTCAACCCCTCCATTACCAACCCCCCACCCTCCACCCCCGCCGCCAGCTTGCGAACTTCCAGGATCTGGGAGAGAGTGGACTGGTACCAAGAAAAAGCAAGCGCTCAGAATCCAATGGTCTTGCTTGGTTTGGGCCAAGACCCGGGTTTTTGGGTTTTTTGAGAGAAAGCCTCACAGTATAACGCAGGCTGGCTTAGAGCTCACTGTGTAACCCTAGCTACCCTTGAACTCCTGGGTAATCTTCCAGTCTTTTTAAAGCGCTGGAATTTTATTAAACACAGCTACCACACCTGGCCTGTAAAGCTTTTAAAGACTGAGATTTGGTTTACTTTATATTATTTTAATAGTGTTTGAATTTTTACTATTCGCTTTAAAACTTTTTATAGTATATTAAAATTTTTACTTGGAAGAATAAAGATAGTAGCAGGTTGTTCAAAGATAGTTAGGACTCTAGTAAGGGTGGGAGCCAGCACTTTGCAGGAAGTTAAGGGAGAATTCTGAGTAGGCCTGCTGGAGTGGCTAAGGTGTTAGTCCCTGGACCTGGGAACTGAGGGCTCCAGGAGTACTTGGCCAGCACAGGGAAGACAGCTCTGCCTGTCTCCCACCATAGCACCCGCTATAGGGCCAGAGAAGGAGGCCTCTGACATCTGAGGGGCAAAGGTCCTTTTAGGGGCAGGAGCTTGAGGGTGGGGCATTTGCAGGACGGAGTCCCTATTTATGTATAAGTACTGGAGTATGCTTTCCCACTTTATCATCTGGCCTCTTTGGAGAGCTACAGGATACAGTGCACTCTGGTGGCAGCTTCCAGAAGGCTTTACTCACTCTCTCTCTCTCTCTCTCTCTCTCTCTCTCTCTCTCTCTCGAAAAAGAATGGTTCACAATTTGCTGCTGTCACTTAAAATCACAATTTTAGTTTGCTGAGCACACGCTATGTGTAAGAGAGCTTGTAAAATCTTTACCTAGACTGCTTCATTGACTGTGGGAAAACAAGCCAGCCACAATACCTAAATCTAGTCCTTAAATGGGACACCTATGTCATGGTGTTATAGACATAAATTCGTATTTTGCAAACTCTGATATGTATACACGTCACTCGGAGATATTTACGTGTAGATTATGAGAAATCTGTAGCAGGGCCAGAAATGTGCCTTTCTGACCAGCACTGACACTGGGAGGTCTTGTTTGTGGAGGGAATGCTTGAGACATTAGTTAGGAAATGCCCATAAGCTAAAAATTGTTCTACTCGGGCTGTACAGGGTTTCCCTAGCTTGTAAGTTTCTTGTTCGATGGGGGTGGGATTCTGGAATCCAGTAGAAAGGTTCTATAGTAGTTCTGAGAATTTAGACAAATGTGTATCTTGATGTACAAAAAGTGACTGCAAAAATGTACAAATGTTCTCCTGAGGCTAGCAAAAGCTGTCAGTACCTAACAGGCAGCAGGGCTCAATAAGCAGTAATGATTTTGAGTAGTAGAATTTGTTTGGGGCTGATCTCAGATTTAACAGCTTGGGAAACTAGCTGTAGTGGATAAAGGGAGAAGAGAATGCCTGCGTCCCCATGTGGTGAGTGCATGAATTGTAAGCACAGTTAGTAAATGTGGTCTTCCTCCCACTTAAGGAGGAACTTAAGTTCTCTGGATGGCAGCACTACAGGATTTGGACATTCTGATGATCTCTGAGATTCCTATGATCTGAGTTTCCTTTGTCATTGCTAGGTTGTTTTCATTCAACTCTACCAGGTAGGCTGTCAGAGACCACTGAGACCCTAAGTTTTCACATTCTTAGCAACTGAACCCCTGTAAACCCACTAAACTCTCATAGGTGTGTACCTCCAGGAAGGAATGAAGGGATTGGCAGAAATTATCTAACCCTCATTAAGCCAAATAAGGCTTTCTCCAGTCTCCATCTGTCCCACCTGATTTATGCAGTGCTAAGGTTCGGAAGTGGGGGCGGCTTCATGCATGCTAGGTAAGCACTTTATCAATGAAGGCAAATCCCCAGCCTAAACCTTTCTTTTTCAAGTGAGTTATCTCAAGGTGTTTTGTTGTGGCAAGGCAAAGGTGACAGTTATAGTCAGCATGCCAAGCTTTGAGGTCAGGGCTGCTCCTAAAAATCCTCCAGCCACATTTGTTGCATATTCAATGATGAGAAGTTTGTGACCAATAACATCAACCCACCCAAACAGTCACAGGTAAGCTGCCTCCTGCTCAGAAGCTGGGGCCCTTGCATATCTGACTTAACCTGGGTTCCAGAAGGTTGCATCAGTCAGAAGTGTGACCATAAAGCAATGTGACTTCTTATGTAGACTTGACCCTTGAGAAAGTGATGTATCCTAGAGACATAATTTTGCATCCTCTCTCTCATTTCTCCCTCCTCCCAACCATGTCCCAACAGTTTGGAAATGCATCTATCTTTGTTGTTGTCAATGATGATTGAGACAATGTTCACCACCAGGCCTGGCTGTATCTTTTATAGTCTCTTGGATACTGCCACTCAGCTTCTTTAAGGATTGCTTGAGTGGGGGAAGCAACAAGTCAGATGATCAAATAGGCTGAGTTATCTTAATGATAACTTATGAGTATATGCAGAAAGAGGTGTCTACTGAGACTATGCAGAATTTTGTTCTGAAATCCATTTGTAAAAAGAAGTGTTGTAAAGGCTTTAAACAAAAATGCCCTAACCAAAAACCATGAACCTCTCTGGCCAGCAGTTTGGAATCTCTTCTTAATAGGACTCACCTTACCTGACCCCCACCAGTGGCACGCATGCCCTTCACACACTCAACTGAATAATTCTGAAAACATTTAAAGTGTTTTTCTGCTCTTACATAGAAGTGTGTGTGTGTGTGTGTTATTATGACTAGAAAATAACCAGAATGCCATGAGACCTGAGGCCCTAGATGCTTGGTAGATTTGGCATGAGCTGGTCCTGAGGGTGGGTGATAGGCAAGACCAGCCATACCACAGAGACCAAATGAGACAGGGCCGTAGGACCAGTGATTGCTTTGCACTCCTCCTACTGCACTGAGAAGGTGAAGCCAAAACAGAGGAGACAGCTGTCTTTGTCCCCCTGGGTAAGTATTTGTCTCTTTGGTGCTATTCAGGAAGTGTCCTACATCAGGAGACGGGAGATCAAGGACCATGCAGTTATATGGGGCTGTAAGCACTCAGGCAGATGCTCTCTAAAAATGCCCCCACTCACAGGGCAACATATATGTGAGAAGGTGGGGGTAGGAACTTCAGCTAAAGCTGCTCCGGTTCTCTCCAGGAAGTTGACCCTGCCCTGAGATCTTCCACTGCTGTTCTCTCACCAACTCCAAGGTACCGACGGCCAAACCATGAAGGGGAAGCTGGGTAGAGGCAGCCCCTACCCTTTGATCCACTAAAAAGGGCATGACCATCAGGCCTTCTAGAAAAGAATTCTGAGGGAAGGAGGAATACAGATAAATTTATTAGTTAAATACTGATTTTACAGCCATTTCACCTTAAGACAATGTTAACAGGTTGGGGGGTTGGGGGCACATGGGAGGGTGGCCTTGAGGGAGAAAACAGTGTAAATGATGATTACAACAGGATCTTGGTTCAAAGCTATTCTCTGCTACGGCCAGCAAGGTTTAGGGTGGGGCTGGGAGTTTGGGGTACAACGGGGATAATGCCTTATTGGCTACAGCTCTGTGGGTGATGAGGCCAAGGAAGAATCTGGGGACCCCAGGAATGGGGGAGGGAGAAGGCCAGTTCTAGGACAGCTACAAGCATGGCGATCCCATCAGGCCCCGAGACATCTTCCACCGTCAGTCACCTTTGTCCTTGCACAAATTTCCTTTTGTTGTTTCTCCTTTGAATTTATCTTGCAAACACTCTGTATTTCCTAGACAAAGGATCCGTGCTGGAGAAAGGCCCAGATTCAGGTAACTGTCTGACTTGACAGGTCATGGCCTGGCAGGCTCAGAGCAAACAAGCTAGAGCCCTGGGAACAGGATTGTGCTGTAGACAGAACCTCCAGAGGGACCCAGGGTACAGATGAGTACAGTCACCAAGCTGCCTCCGTAGCCAGTTTTGTTCCTCAATGGAACCCCTGTGTGTGAAGGGGTGAAACAGGATGCTAGGAGCAGCACCAAGTCCCCCTAGCCTGCTCTAGTTTTGCAGAGGATAGGAGACGTTCAGGCTGGAGAGCAAGGGATTTGTGTCAGAGTCCCCAGGAGAGGAAGAAGGGAAGGCACCACTGCTGGGTTGTGATTGATTAATATCCTGTGTGATAGGTGATGCGCCTTCTCCACTGTCTCCCCAGGGAGCATTTAGTAACATCTGCATTGTACCCAGCATTTTTGGAGTCAGATCTGGTATGAGGCATGCAGGGACATGCCATGCTTCAAGGGGAGTGTTGGACAAGGGCAGGGCTGCCACGTCCAGTCCACATCAAGTAGACACCCTGCTCAGGCTGTAGATGGTGTCTTGAAGCTCAGCCTCCTACAGCCACCTTAGGAGCATAAAGAAAAACCCACTACCTAGAACCACCGGGGTGGAGAGTTAGGGTGAAGGAGATTATGTCTCTGTCCTGGACAGGCAGGTGGAGAATAAGGAAGAAGTCTCCCGCTACATTGGAGAGTCTCACTGTGCTGTGTTCGCAGTGAAGGTGGGCTTGTCTCTAAGAATGCAGGCTCTTTCCAGTGCTCCACCTGGAAAAGGTGTTTGAAGAAACCCAGCACCCACATCCCTAAGCGATTGTCAACAACTTCAAGTTCTACCCAGTTGTTCTTCGGGAGTCGTTCCCAGAGGGGCTGGCCAGGGTGCCCCAGCCTCAGACTTTGCTGGCCCCCAGGTCCCAAGTCCGAGCAGGAATTTGAAGAGGGAAAGGGTGTGATTATGCGGTAATTATGTCCCCATGACTGTCAGCCAGGACCAGGCTGTTCCAAGAGTCCTGCTTGGAGCTGGCCTGTGATGTCTGAGTGACAGGAGATGCATAGCCTTGTGGGGAGAGCTTCAGAGCAGACAGCACTGGATGGATGGAAGGCCCATGGCCGGACACAGTACTGACAGAGAATGCCTGGAAGGCAGAAAGCACAGTGAGCCAGTAGGATGTTCCTGGGGACCCAAGGACCAGGGCTGGGGAGGGGATGAGGGAGAAAGCATTCTAGCTGCTCCCCTAGTCCCTAGGGTCCAACTGCAGGGGGTCTGTGTGCTTCCCCAGTAGCTTCTAAGCACAGTGTAATCAGGGCCATAATCTAGGAGTTTTGGGATGGTGTGCTTTCTCGAAGGCTGACAGCTAGAGGAGACACTCTTATCACCCTTTCCAGGTCAGACTGAGGTCATCCTCTCCAACCTGAGAGGGTCCTAGCACGTTTGCTTCTGTGGAACCAGGTTCTCTCTAGTTCACTCGGATGGTAGAATACTCAAACAGCCTCTCACAATTAGTGGGGTGGGGAAGGGAAACCTTGACTTCCTCATCCCCAAAGGGGCAGAGGAACAGGGCACCATCACACCTTCAAGAGGGCATGGTGCCCTGCTGGGCCATTCTGGAGGCTCTCGGGAAGCTGGAGCTTATGAAAGAGCTTTCTGCCCACCTCTCACCCACCCTGCCCTCTGGGTCCCAAGCCTGTGCCATACTAACAGGGCCCTCCTGCCTTCTCTGAAAAGCCTTCAAGGCCAAGGTCAAAGTGCTTCAAGCTCTAGAGTCCAAGTTTGCTCCCAACCTCCAAGTTTGACTCAGGGAGAGAGTTGGTGCTATCTGCCACATGCATCCCACATCCTTCTCCTTGTTCCCAAAGCCACAGCACAGGGAAGGTGCTAAACATGGTATCCTCTGTGTTCAAATCCTCTGTGTTCAAATCCTCGCAGCTGGACAAGAAGTACCAAAACCTCAAAGGCTGAGCTATTTGGAGCTTAGCAGCTCAGGGTCAGGCTACAGCTCACCTCCTAAGGCTGGTCTGGTCACCAGGGATCTAGAATTTACTTCCTATTAGCCCTGTCACCCACCTGGGATATGGAGGTACTGTGCCCATAGTGAGATGACAACCCAGGCTCTGTCTTGATGGGGCGCATCTCTTCGCTGCTGCTGCTGCTGCTGTTGGTGGTAGCGTTGCTGGAGTTACTGGAGGCACTGCTGTTGGGAGGGAGGCTCTCGCCAGGAGGTCCTGCAAGGAGGCAGAGTCAGGAAACCCAATCCAGCAGGGGCAGAGGCCCTATTTACATTTGCTGGGGGCTGGGGTGGGGGAAACAAGGATCCTTATGGTGAAGAACAGTGGTTCTCAAAATTGGACAGAAGCCTCAAAATTCCAAGAAGACTATTTGACCTTCTGAAAACGGTGTGATGTAGTTCAGGCTGGTCTCAAACTCACTATGTAGTTAAGAATGCTATTGAACTGGTATTCCTGCCTCCACTTCCTGAGTGCTGGGGTTACAGGCCTATGTCACCAAGCTCAGTATTATGGGATGCTGGAGATCCAAGCCAGGGCTTTGAGCATACTAAGTAACATGCTCTACTTACTGAGCTGCAACCCCAGCCCCAAGGGAACCTTTTCAAGACTCCATGATTCTCTCATGACCCTAGATCCATAAGCTCCAGGCACCACATTCTGTTTGGGGATTCCACACTCTTGATGTTGTTTTTAAGGATACTGCCAGAGGGTTCTGGGACAGCAACCTGTAATTAACTATATTAATTTCTCTGTAGCCACACTGTTTGGGATAAATGGGGGTTATAAATAGCCTGTGGTGCTCCAGAACAGGTCCAGCTATAGAATTTATTTTCCCAGATTCTAGTCCTGCCACACAATTTATTTTCCCAAAATCTGGTCCTGTTACAGAATTTATTTTCCCAGATTCTGACTTATGGCTTGAGAGCTCCACACCTGAACCCAGGGCTCTGCTACAGTCATGGTCCAGGAGGCCGAAAAGTAGGGACAGGACCCCTGGGGAGTCTCAGAAGGTTAGGGTAGGAAATAGTTCTTCCAGAACCCCATGTTTAATGTAGGGACCTAAGATTCTGGCCATGGCTTTGGTGGTGAAATGGGCAGCATTGTGAGTCTGTCTGCCTGGGGTAAGAAGGTGAACTGTTCACATCAGCCAGTTCATTTCCCTGCTGAAGCCAGTAAAGCCTAATTTGACAGTTTGGACCATAGGAGGTTCTGGGTAGCAGACATTAGTGCCCCCTCCCCATCTCTTGTGTGTGTATGTCATTTATTTTATATTATGTTCATTGGTGTTTTGCTTGTATGTATGTCTGTGTGAGGGAGTCAGAAGCCGTGGAACTGGAGTTTCAGACAGGTGTGAGCCACCATGTGGGTACTGGGAATTGAATCTGGGTCCTCTGGAAGAGCAGCTAGTGCTCTTAACCACTGAGTCATCTCTCCAATCCCATGACCTTCTTCTTAATCTAGAAATTAAGATGGCATTGCCAGATGTGGAAGCTCATGCCTGTAATCCTAGCACTTAGGAGGCTGAGTAAGAGAGTCATGAGTTCAAGGTTACTCTGAGCCACATAGAAATTCTGAAGACAGAATAGCATATTGAACAGACTGTTGATCCCAGGGTGAACATTCCAGATCCTAGTCAATAGTGATGTGATTTTAAGTACTTCAGCCCCGGTTTGCTTATTAGGAAGACAGGCTAACAAACTGCTTCTGTGGGGTCTTGAGGGGATCCCTGAAGGATCTTGTACAGGTTCAGAGCACTCCATGACATTATTGTATGCCAATTACAAATCAATCTGTCAGGAGCATGGCTAATGGGAACTTGTCTGCTTTGGTCATAACTTCAAAGATGGGGGCCAGTGAGCAATGCTACTCTCTCAGGCCCTACACTGGTCCAACCAGCCTATTTCAAGGGCAGTCATCATATGGCTTCAGGGTTCTGGTTGGTTGGTTGGTTTATTTGTTTTCTGTTCTGAGAGAAGAGGATGGAGGAGGAGGTTACCACCATACCCTGGCAGCCTACTGGGGCAAACATGGTTCTCGAGTGTTCTGGGAACTCCTGACTTGTTCACATACTTACACAGAGATCTAGTCCTCACCTCCTGATGTCTTAGATTTGTTCAGGTTCTTGGGCTTTCGTTTCCTGGTTTGAATCCCCTCCTTCCGCATTGCAAGAGGCCTGGGTACCTGAAGGGTTGAAAGTTAATATATGAATTTCCATTTGTAGACGTCTCCTATGGTATTGAAATTCTCTCTCTCTCTCTCTCTCTCTCACACACACACACACACACACACAAATGAAGATTTTGCTATGGTATTGGATATCTCTTTCTCACACACACACACAAATTAAATGAAGATTTTGCTTTGCTCTGGTATTGAAACACACACATGAACACGTACACACAAATTAAATGAAGGTTTGTGCTATGTTTTTTAATTTCTCTCTCTCTCTCTCTCTCTCTCTCTCTCTCTCTCTCACACACACACACACACACACACACACCAACACATACATAAATCAAATGAAGGTTTGAAAAAGGAGAAGCACATGGGTTGTATTCTTGAAGGAAGACAAGTGAACCTGCAGAATGGAATGGAGGAGGTTCCTTGTCAGGCACTGCACAGCAGGGCAGGGCATCTACTTACCCCATGGAGCTTCATGTAGAGGCCACAGGCATTGCACACAGGCTCGCCCTCAGCATTGCGACGCCACAGTGTGGTGGTGGTGGTCTGGCAGTTGGCACAAGAAAGGCCTACCCGGCGGGAAGCAGACTACGACACAGATAGAAAGGAAATGGTTTGTGTCTAGCAGGGCTAAACTAGAATGGTTTCACGTGAGCCCTCAGGCCAGTCTTGGCACTGTCTGTGGATATCTAGACCACTCATAGGAACAGATGGTAGCCAAACCAGAGAAGGACCCCAGGGTATGACATAAATGACCTGGATACTGTCAACAGAGACTCTCTTCCTAAAGATGGAGCTCACAGATGCCAGTGTCTGATTGTGTTTGGGATGATGAATTTGATAGGCCTCAAAGAGAAAACTTCAGGATGTCTCTCTCTAGTCTCCTTCCCTGTCATACATCAAAATGGGTTGGTACTGGCCAGAGTTGGGTGGCAAATACATACATACATACATACATACATACATACATACATACATACATACATACAAAAAAGAGCACAGATCCAGGCAGCAATACCTGGCCCCAGTTCCAGGGGTGCACACCCACTTTGCCTTCTTGGACTCTGGATCTTTTTTATGAGATCAACTGAAAATAAGACAACTTTTGCTTATATTGGTCTTCAAGACAAAGGGATTGGAGATCGGGAGGCCTGGATCTGGCTCCCTGTAGCTAGTGTCACTCACCTCTCTGAGCTTCATTTTCTACTATGGCATGGTGATGGGGGTAAACTAGCTGGTCCAGAATCTTTGATGTGAGCCCAAGCTCACTCTAAAGGTATGAGAAGCTCCCTCCTTCCTCCCACCTACCTAACCCCTCAGCTCATATCATCCAATTCCAAAATTTAAAGCTGAGTATGAGTCACAAGTTTGGATGCAGAGAGGAGGGGTAGAGCTGGCTGTTCTCTGGGCTGGTAGACTTAAATCATAGAGGTTCTTGCTTACCAGCCGGCGCTGAGGCTTAATGAGGGGTCGGTTGATGCCGTTCATCTTGTGATAGAGGCCACAGGCATTGCACAGGTAGTGTCCTGTTCCATCTCTCCTCCAGAGCGGGGTGGACATGGCTCCACAATTGACACACTCTCTGCCTTCTGAGAAGTCATCAAACATATCTACTGGGGGAGGACACAGGAGAAAGGACACAAATGATTACTTCCTTGTTTTGTTGGGAGTCATTTTACCTCGAAAGCAGGGCGAAAGTCTCCCCAGGAGTCATTATTCCTGGGTCAGGACTGCAAGGCAAGTGGGTTCCACAGTCTGCCATCCAGATGCAGCAGAGCTGCCTGGGGAAGAGTCATCAGCTATCTAGGCTACAAGGGGACACTTTTTGAGTTCAGGTCTTGCCTCTTGAGTCTTCATGGCATCCACCTAACCTACTCAGACCCTTTTCTTCATTTTCCTTTTCAAAATTATGACTGTGTGATGATGTGAACATGAAATGTCCCCATAGGCCATGTTTTGCACACCTGTTCCCCAGCTGGTGGCACTATTTTGGAAAACTGTGGAACCCAGTTAGGAGGTAGGGCCTGTTTGGAAGAAGTGGATTGCTCAAGGTTATGCGGGGCCCCTTGTTCCTTTCCTGATATTCCCACCTTCTGGTCTATTGCACTCTGAGAAAGCTCCACAGTAAGCTGTCATTCCATCCACTCTGCCATCCACAGTCACAACAGTAGACTGAATCCCTATGAAATCATAAGCTAAAAATAAATTTGGTTTCTGTTAAGCGGTTTCTCTGGGTATTACAGTCATAATAATTGCAAAAGTAACTCATACAATTTTTCCCTTTGGGTAAACATATTTATATTATAGGAGAATTAGTGTTGAAACATAAAGAAAATACAGGTCATGACCAGTGCTGTGAGCATTCTATTTTATTCTATCCTTTGTAAAACTTTCTATGTTGACATATACTTTTGCCTAGTTGCGGTCAAGTGATATAACTGAACCTATCTTGCTTTGCTTTGTTTGCTTAATGGCCTAATGTGTTACTGCATTAGGAATGTATTAGTAACTCATTTCAGCACAGTGTAATAATAGTTCATCATTGAAATGTGCCCCCTTTCACCTCTGCTCTTCAGTAACTGCTTACTCTCTGCTAGTTTCTGATATTTGTTTTGTAAACACTTGTCTCTTTGTACGTATGTTTGCGGTGAGTTTCTGGTTATTACTCTGGTTACTATCCTAGAAGGAGAGTTTCTAGGTCACAGAGACTAGAGTTCTATTTACAGTCTCAAATTTGTCGTTCACTTAGTTTTCCTGCTTGTGACAGTTAGTTTGAATTGTCAGCTTGACACCTCAGAACTATTATCAACTGGAATTACCTCAGGAAAGAGTCTCAATGAGGGATGGCCAACTTGGGATTGGCTGTGAGTATGTGTATTGTCTGTTCATTGATAGGGAAAGACCCTGCCTAGTGCAGGCAGCACCATTCTCTAGGCAAGGACTCCTGAACTGTCCAGGAATAAAGGAACGCAAGCAAGCAAGTAAGCAAGAGAGTAAGCAAACGAGTATGTGAGTATGCATGCATTCATTTCTCTTTGCTCTTGACAGTGGATGTGGCCTCAAGCTTCTGCTGCTTTATAACTCCCTGCAATGACAGACTGTAACCTGGAATTGCAACCTGAAATAACACCCCCCTTCCCAGTTTCCTTTTTGTCAGGGTATTTTATCACAGCAAAGAAAAGAAACCAGGATCATACTTTTAATATATATGAACAATCCTATGTTATTGTTTGCTATGTTTCCTCATTTATGCCACATAAAATAAAGACACATAATATGGTTCATTGAGTGTGACTGTCAGCCCTCTACCAGAAGGCTGCCTTTATCTGTCACCCTTTCCTTCAGTAACCCTTTCCTTTCACTTCTGTATCTGCAGAATTCTACAATTGGTGAGCTCCTGGTGTCCCTTTCCATTGTCTGAGTGAAGGAGTAGGGCTGGTTTTCTCACTCCCTTTTACCTATATAAGACCTGCTTAAATACTTCCAAAAGTCTCTTGATTCATGCAATCTAAGTTTTCTGTCTGAGCACAGCCTCCTTGGTCTCTGGATTGCCCTTGTCCTGATACCAAAGGCCATGCTGAGTTTTTCTCTGGGGAAGCCATCAGTACCTCTTTGAAGGCAGGATTAAAGGTCCATCCTTCCTTCAGGCCCCAGCCCTGGGGTTTAAGGTTGCACATTTTGCCAGCTTCACTGCTCTGAAGGAATGTTGGCTGGAAGAGCTACCCTCTATGGGCGCCCTGCCCATAACTCTGGGCAGGCAAACAGTCATTTACACCTGCAAACAGGTAGCAGCCTGTTCATACCAAGCAAACAGTATACAGGTGTGAGGGGCTGTTTGCTCAGGCCAGGGAGTTAAGTAAAGCCAGCACGGAGAGGCTATTTTTACACTGTGTCACACGGAAGGCCCTTCGTCAAGGTCACCTGCTTCCAAAGGTGACTCTTGTCCATGGCTTGCTCTCTTCTGGGCCACCACCATTACCACCATCATCAGCACCTGTCAGTCTTGCTCTTTTCCTCTCAAATACTCTGAGAGCAGTAGAAAGACCCGAAGTTCCCAGAGCCAATATCCAGCAAGGCAAAGAACTAGTGCTGGCAGCCCTTTGTCTGCCATGAACACTAGATGGCACTATAGACTCAAAGTTGAACCAAGACCACAGACTGGGTTAAATCACACCTTGGGAGAGAAGACTGTGCTCATCAGTCTAGTCCAAGCCTACTGCAGCCCTTTAATTCTATTTTTCTTTATCTTGAAAAAGAGTTATATCCCAAAGATGGCAGAGTATAAAACTCATCCCTATTTAACCATCAATCAGCTTCTAGCGATTTGTGAACAATCTCCCCTCACCCGGAGGTGAGATTATACCCATCATGTACTACACAAGAAAACCTGAGGTCCTGTCGTTGTCTCTGTCTGTTTCTCTAACAGGTAAAGATGCTCACACACCAGTTCCCCCCCCCCCCCACACACACACTCTAGTTCATTTCAACTCTAGGGTGAGAGGGAAGATCCCCACTTTTCTTCACACTTAGTACATCACGTGTGTGCATATGGTATGGAGGAATTAATGGTGTCCATGGGTACGTCCTGTCTGCTACTCATTTCTTCCCTCTCTGAGGACTCAACACAAAGGTTGACCTGGGAAACTCATGCAAGTACACCTCAGGATATGCATTCTAGCAACTGTTTTCCTACCCAGATAAAGCCGCCAGGCATTGGCAAGTATGTATTTGTCACCCACAAATATTTACCAAACACCTGTGATTTAAATAGGGCAACAGCTGCCACAGAAGCTAGGAGGGTGCCTTGCTACTGATGGAGTTGAACAAACTGGACCTGAAAATCAATTGTGAGTGGCAAGATGACTCACTCCTCTTTCAGAACTCTCAACTGAGTGTGGGGTTTGTGGCAGTAACCATTGGTCTAAGGATAGGAAATGTGGAAAGTTCAACCCAGATAGTACAGCCAGTGTAAAGAGGGGACTGGGCAGGAAGCAAAGACCATGTTTCCTCAGGGTGCCCACCCAGGCATACCTGTGTACATATTCCACCACAAAAATCTTACTACCCCACCAGCTCAATGAAATGTTATGTGAAATTTTTATTTTTAAAAAGATTTATGTGTGTGAGTATTTTGCCCACAAGTGTGTATGTGTACCGTGTGTGTGCCTGGTACCCACAAAGGCGAGAAGGCATTAGAACCCCATGGATCTAGAATTATTGGTGGTTGTGAACCACCAGGTAGATTCTGGGAACTTAACCCCAGTCATCTGCAAGAGCAACACGTGCTCTTAGCCAGCAAAGCCATATCTCATAAATGATTAATACAGAGGCCACATAATGGAAGAGCAAAATGCTGACTCTGGCATGCAAACTAAAAACCGAACCATGCAAGGTGTCCTGTAGCATGGTGGCAGCAGAGTACGAGAAAGTAGCTTTAACTGGGCTAATAGTGGGGACTTTTGCTTTTGCTTTCATGAAAGCACTGGTCTGTAACATAATAAAATTCTGATTTTGAAAACAAAGAAATCTGACCCCCAAACAGCTGGGGGGGGATATCTGACACAAAAATAAACTCCCCAGGGCTGGGGAATGGGAAGAATGAAGCCTATCTCAGCTGCTCAACACTTACTCTGGGGAAGAAGGGGGTGCTGGGCTGTGAGCCTCAAGCCAGCACCTCTTACTGTTTCACAGGAAAAGCACAGGGTGTAACTTTCCAGAGGGCAAGTTGAGGGCCCAGCCACGGCTCCAGCTGGTGACAGTCTGTCTCCCAATCCCACCCCTCTCCAGTACAGGCACTGGTCCACCCATTGAGGAGCAGTGGGAATTCAACCCCGGGGAGTGGGTCAGCACCTCTCCACTCTGAAAGGACAGTCTTGTAATAATAGCTGTAAAGCACTTTGCAAATAAGAGGAAAAACTCCCAACAATGGCTGTGGAGTGCTCTGCAAACACCCAGCAAGATAACGATGACCGATTATTGTTCTGTGGCTGGAGAAGAGGGGCAGACCAGGGACAAGGGAGACAACTAGGGAGAATTTTAGAGAAGACTTGAAAATCTGAGGTTTTCAGGCATGGATGAGGACAGACTCCGATCCATGGGGTTCCCAACTCAAGTTTGACTCTGAAAGTTACAAACACTCTATACCTAGGAGTTCTCAGAATTGCTGCTCGTGGGAAATGGAATGTTTTCCTAGTCCCAAAGATGGGCACCTAACTCCTCACTACTATCCCCATGTCCTACTTTAAACATCTCTCTTTTAAACAGGAATATATTGCTGCAGGATGGATATTCCTAGAAACCATGGAAAACTACACCCATCCAAGTGCCTGGAAGGAAACCACGGCCCTGACTTCCCAGAGGCTGATACAACAACTGGTAAGGACTCAACCTACCCTGGCCTGCTCCATTCCTCCTCTAGAACTCGCCCATCTATCTCTGCAAATCACAGGAAACAAACATGGGCTGGGAGAAGGACAGGAAGGGTTGAAAAGGAGAAAGAAAGGGAACAATGCCAGGTCATGGCTAGCAGCACGCCGCTGGCCACAGTGGAGACTGGCGTTTGCCCCTTGACCTTTGGGAAACAATCCCAGGTAGCTGATGCTGCATTGCCAGG